TCATAAGCAAAATAATAATCATACGGCAAGAATTCATAAAGCCTTTTTAAAATTCAAAAAGGGAAAAACAACAAATTTTTAACGAAGCCTTTCACATGAACAGCTTGCAAAGCACAAAATCGTTTTTTTTTCCTTTTTCTTAGTTCACGCATCTATTAATTAATTTGTAAAACATCTTATTAATATATCAAAACAACAATTATGAAAATATTTCCTTTTGAAAAAAAATAAACAAAATTTTATGTAATTTTTGATCTACCAATGTTTTGGAAGAACCACCCAGACTGGCAAAGGAAAACTCTGTTAGTGTTGGATTTGTAAGACCGAAATTCGCCTTCGCCTTGCTTCATCCTCTTTTTTTTGGTTATTAACTATTCGTCTTAGCTACGTTCGCTTTTACTTCGAACCTATTAAATAATCATTTTCATTTATTATCGTAAACTGTATTTTTAATAAATATTTTTATTCACTGTTGCAAAAACACATTCTTTTCCGACAATCACTATTATTATCATTTTTATTGTCATTCATCTCTATCATTAATGTTATGTTTTTTGCTTCCACCGACATTTCTACTAATGGAAATATCTATTAAAAGGGAAACGCTTTATGATTATTGCTAAATTTCTTATAATTTCAAAATAAACGAAAAAATGAAAAATTTAAGCAGTCTGATTAGGATTTTAAATATGTTCTTGAGAGAAGTTACAACTTCATTGTTTGCTAAAGTTGTGATAGAGATGTTCAAAATTGTTTTTTCGTTCTTTAATTAATTAGCATATAATCTAATGTAAAGGAAATTAAAGAAATGATTATAAGCATGGCTGAAATATTAATGCCTTCGCAAATATCCCTGAAGAAAGTTATATTCGCTAAAATTGGAAAATTAGCTATGCATGGATTGAATAAATTGATTTAAAATTATAGAGATTGTCGATGGTAATGTTAAAATGACACTTGGATTAATATGGACCATAATTCTTCGTTTTGCTATACAGGATATCAATGTTGAAGGTAAATCGTATCGTTCATACACTTTTTATAGTCGAAAGTTTAAAGCATATTACTCATTTTTTTGATTATATTTTTAACAGTCCCAGTTCTATCTTTCAATGGGGTAAGTCTGACAATAAATTTTTTCTATGGCGCTATTGTAATCCTAAATTTCTAAATGTATTGACTGGTGGACGACAATGAAATAAGCCCTCAACTCTTAATATTTACTCTTAACATCTGAAGTTCTTTTTTTTAGAATTATCTGCCCGCGATGGACTTTTATTATGGTGTCAAAGAAAGACTGCTCCTTATCATAATGTGAATGTACAAAACTTTCATACAAGGCATGTTTTAAAATAACTTTATTCATTTTTAATCATTCATAATCATTTTTAAAACCAGTTACAGTGCAACTTGTCCAGTCATAATTGAATCATGCTTATATAACTTTTAAATGGAGGTTTTGAAAAAACATAGGTTGTGCAAGCTTGCTTTTTGCTTTATTTCGAAGAATGCTTTTTGCCGAAGCTGCTTAAGTAAATAAACGGGATCATAAATATATTGCAAAATATTTTGCTAATTTTGGTCTATTTATCTTTAAAAAAGTAGGCTAGGAATTCAGCTACAGTTTTTCCTCATTAATTATTTTTTAGTTGGAAGGATGGCCTTGCATTTTGTGCTCTCATTCATCGCCATAGACCTGAACTGATCGATTACTCAAAGTTACACAAAAGTGATCCGCTTCACAACCTGAATCTTGCATTTGATGTTGCTGAAAAACATCTCGATATACCGAGGATGCTTGATCCTGAAGGTGAATCGTCAATCCCTTCTTTAAATTAACGCTCTTTGAATGCTTCTAAATTCTAAATATGATTTTTGTTTTACATTGACCCCAAAGAAGTTCTTCCCGTTTTACAGAAATATTGCAATAGAACTGTTTCTCTCATTTAAAAGGGTCTATGATTTAGAAAAATCTGGCGTATTTCCTAGAATTTTTTTTTGGTTCATTTTTAGGACTTCTAGGTTTTTTGGGTCGGGTAGAATTATAAATAAACATGTTTAGATCTTGTGTACAGCCAAAGACCGGATGAAAAATCGATAATGACCTATGTTTCATGCTTCTATCATGCATTCCGTGGTGGTCATCAGGTTTAGATTGTAATTCGGTCACGGATTTGATTGTGATGATTTGATTTTGATAACTTGAATGTGTGCTGGTTTATATAACTTGTCCGTTTTATCACTTCAGTCTGCGTTTTTTTTTTCTGATGGCTTGATTTTCTGATTGTTTTTTATCAGTGATTTAGTGTCGTTAGGATATTAATTGCAGATATGGATAGCAATATGCCCGATGAAAAAGCTGTGATGACATATGTTTCAAGTTATTATCATCATTTTCTTGGTATGCGTAAGGTCTGTCGATAATCTCCATAAAAGTATATTAAGAAATTTGGTAAATATCCAGCTTGATAAAAGTTGATTAATAATCACAATTTGAGTTCAATAATGGCAGATTAATAATTGCATTTGTTCATAAATGAGTTATTTTAAAGTTATTTTTCATATTACTTGCAGATTTGACCTAAATTTACAAATATCTTAAATTTAGTCTTTGGGAATTAACTATACAGACACAGAAAAATATATAGATTAAATTTTCATGCCCAGGCTGGAATTAAATGGTAGTTATTTTTCTATGGAATTATTTCGCCTGAGTTCTGCATTTGCATTTATAAATGTGCATGTTGTGCCAAATTTATGTCAAAAATTTTTTTCAAAAGTTGCCCTTAGGTGCTTCATTGATGCGATATTTGCTAGTATTACTTTTACGTTATATTGTGCCTCAACTTTCATGGCTAATAGTATTCATGGCTTCTTTTTTTTGTTTGATTTTTAACATGTTTAACCGTGTCGCTGACGCTGTATTCTTACATCAAATCACATTTCAATAAATAGGCTCCAAAATACAGCTGCGATGAATTCGTTAGTTGCATAATTATTTATAGCATTGAGGCTAACAAGTAAGCATGTTGTGCAAAATATTATCTTACTTTTTAAACCAATGAGAGATTTAGAAATTCTTTTGCAATTAATAATTCATACATGAAATTAGGAATTGCAGGCAGAAACAGCCGCTAATAGGATATGTCGAGTACTAAAAGTAAATCAAGAAAATGAGAAAATGATGGAAGACTACGAAAGTCTTGCAAGTGATGTTAGAATTTTATAATCTCATAGTTCATTTAGTAAAATTTAAAAGTTTTAATCAGCTATTACAAAAAAGATTTTTGGCTTGTGTCGATTTATTCCACTGAATTCAGTGAGTATTGCAGCTTTTGGCATGGATCCGTCGATGGATGCCTTGGTTATCAAATCGCTCATCAGGTGATACATTGGAAAGTATTCGAAAAAAGCTCGATGATTTCAGGAATTACAGACGTTTGGAAAAACCTCCACGTATTGAAGAGAAGGGAAGGCTCGAAACACTCTTCAACACTTTGCAAACGAAACTTAGATTGAGCAATAGACCAGCTTTTATGCCAAAAGAGGGACACCTCATTAAGGTTTGTCTTCTTTAATGAAAAAGTTGATGAATATTTCAACAAGAAAAAAGCAAAAAAATATGGCTGAAAATCGTATGATAGCACAGCGGGGTTTTGAAATTAATAAATTATAACCCTATGTCCAACACACCACTTGTCGGGACTCAAGAAGTGTGCAAATCAGTCCAGAGGACAATATCATAAACCTTGAATATGCTAGTAGCACTTTTTGTTGACAGTTACGGCAAAATGCAAATTATGCTAAACAATGTATCGACAACTTCAGCGAGAATCGTATTCAAAATCAATGTAAATAAAATGAGAGCCTTTTCGTTTTATATACAAGATGCTGATAAAATACCTATTTTTAACAATTCTTGCCAGTTGAAGAAGTGTCCGACTTTAAATGTCTTGGATCCACTCTAATTCCAAATAGTCAGGCAAAGGATGAAATTGTAACCCGGATAACGACATCTAGAGATGTGTTTTTCCACTTGAAACCTTTATGGAACTGTCGTGAAATCACCATAAAGATAAGAATCTGCGTCCATATAGCTGCAATTCGCTCGATTTTGTTATATGGCTGCGAAACATGGCCAGTGAGAGTATTAAGAAGCTGTCAGCTTTTGACCACTTATGTCTAAGATATATTTTACGGGTCCGTCGAGAGGATAAAATCTCACGGTCGCATCCACCTTCGCTCGAATATCATCTATATTAATGTTATTAATGTTATCATAGAGCGTTGCTTTCGCTAAGGAAAGAACTATTTATCTTATTAAGAACTATATAGGATATCAGTGCGGCTTGGCGAGGTCTCGAAGATTCCGAAAAGGGCTTTGAAGAATGGTTGCTCAGTGAAATGATGAGGTTTCATTATTATTTTTTGGTATATAAATATGGTTCTAAAATTTGGTTCTTTTTATAATTCAAAATTGAGAAATGCGCATTCATATGAATTTTATCATCAATAGCTTTTTATTTTAAATTATTTGAAGAACCATATGAAAAAGAAATTTTAACAAGTCTTCTTCATTCAATTTTTGGATGTTTTGCTGAATCATGAGTTATGGATTAATCATGGATTAAGATGGTTTAATTTATATTAAATTATATTATAGTGTCTTCATCTTTAATTTAAAAGTTATTAACATTAATCACATGATATAGACTTGAGCGTCTTGAGCACCTTGCTGAGAAATTTCGCCGCAAATGTGCATTACATGAAGAATGGACTCATGGCAAAGAAGAAGCTTTACAGTCATCTGACTGGAGATCATCTGGGCTATATAAAATCAAAGTTTGCTTATATCACTTATTTTGAAACAATGTTAAAATAGAGATCATTTGATACTTTATTGTCTCTGTTAAAAGCCAACATAAAGATTTTGAATGAAATGTGCTTTTAGGAAAAAATGAATTGTAGGCATTGCGGAAGCGACATGAGGCGTTTGAAAGTGATTTGGGGGCTCATCAGGACAGAGTGGAACAGATCGCTGCTATAGCTCGAGAACTGAGTAACCTGAAATATCCAAATATTGGGCCGATCAATTCATTATGCCAGGTTATCACTCGAATTTATCATATAAGTTTCTGACCGATATATAACATTTGAAAACATATTTAAAAATCAATAAATTAAAAGAAAATAATTTTGCCTATATATTTAAGTATATTAAATACCTTTTTATATTATAGTAATAAAATTGCACATATTAGATGATATGTGATCAGTGGGATCGCTTGGGTCGCCTTACAAAGCAACGTCGAAAGCAACTGGAAGATGCTGAAATTGTCGCTGAAAAACTTGATAAATTGTATTTGGACTTTGCAAAGCGAGCGGCACCCTTCAATAATTGGTTATATCAACTTTTATCTAGAAATTTTTATCGTTACCATAAATTTTATGGATTAATCGAGCATATTAAATCATAAAAGAGTAATGTCAAGTTTGTTAGCAAGTTAATGAGTGATTTAAAACTTTTTGGTTCGCTCTTCTGGCTGTTAATGCGATGAAAAAGTCAGAGGGTCCGAAGCTTGAAACGATAGCCTAAGCAACAACCATTCTTTTGTTCCGCATCCAAGTGAGAAAGTTGGAACATCCCACTGTGCATATCATTTCATATAATTTACTCGTATTCTCTTCCTTAACCTTGTCAAGAAGAATGAAAAGGTTTTTAGTTATACTCGGTGTTTGAAAAATTCTTCTAAATTCTCAAGAAAGGTGATAGGACATACTGCGACAACTATCGAGGAATCAGCCTACTAGACGTCTCAGCGAAAATTTTTGCTTTCTTTTTGTTCTTTTATTTAGATTATGGAAGTACGAGATAGCAGGATGCGCCCTAATCAAGCTGGATTCAGACCAGAGCGCAGTTGTGCTGACCAGATATTCACGTTAAGAAGGGTGTTGGAACATCGCTTCAGATATTTGCAACCCATTGTAGCGTGTTGTTTCATCGACTTTGCGGCTTGCCTTTGATTCAATTAATAGAGTGGCGCTTTGGAGAGTAATGGAATGCGACGGTGTTCCAGAGAAGAAGAAAAGATCATTCGACTTATAAAAGCATTTTATGAGCGTAGGTTGGCGCAGGTCTGTGTATATGGGGAAGAGACTGACTTCTTTGAAATAAGAACTGGTGTCTGTCAAGGCTGTGTCCTTTCCCCTACAATATTCAATAATGCAATAGGGTTGATAGTAGACATCGCTTGTCGGCACTCAAGAAATGTCCAAATCACTCCAGAGCATCCTATCACAGATCTTGAATACGCTGAATGAAGTCCTTTTTGCTGGAAGTTACGGCAAAATGTAAATGATATTAAACAATGTGTCCACAACTGCAGCGAGAATCGAACTCAGGTCAGTGTAAATAAAACGATAGTCTTTTCGCCATATGTGCAAGAAGTTGATAAAATGCCTCTTTCATTACCGGTTGAGGAAATGGCCGACTTTAAATACTTTGGGTCTACCCTAATACCAAATTGCCAAGAAAAAGACGATATCATAGCCCGGATCACGGAAACTAGAAATGCATTCTTCCAGTTGACGAAAACGCTTATGGAACCGCCGTGAAATTACCATAAAAACGAAAATCGGCGTCTATATAGCCGTGATTTCCTTTGACCATTCTTGCCTAAGGTACATTTTACGGGTCCGTCGAGCGGACAAAATATCACATGATCGCATCTACCTTCATTCAAATACCACTTGCATTAATAATGTTATCGCAGAACGTCGTCTTCGCTGGTTAGGGCACATTCTTCGTCATCCACCACAGGAGTTGACGCATATTTCGTTTCTTGCTAAGCCGTATGATGGATGGCGTCGAAAGCGAGGGGCCAATCAAGATTTGTACTGATACGGTCAGAAAAGATTTTCAACGTATAGGTGGACCAGCAATATATGGACTTAGACGATGGAAAAACGAATGGCTTCTATTACTGTTGACAATAGCATCAGACCGAGCTGCTTGGAAGCGTCTTACCCTTGGAATCGCTGGAGCCAGCCTAACCAGTAACGGTAAGAGCTGTTTGAAGAAGAAGAAGTGTGGCAACTATGGTTGAATGATATGTTATTTCGATTAACACTCAAGCATCATGGGTTTTACTTCTATCCCCAAGTGAAGCCCTGGCATTTTATGTGCAGCAGAAGACAAATAAAATCTATGATTTCCAACAGTTAGTGCGACAGTGATCAGCGATATAATTAGGTAATTAACAAAATAATTAGTGATTTCATTATATTATATAATTTCTTCAAGGTTCAGCAGTAAAAAATTTTAAGGCTAGATGGTGCTAGAGAGGATCTTGTTGATATTGTTATTGTCCATGAAATGAAGGAAGTGCAAGAGCTTTTGGCTGCACACAATCAATTTAAAGTTACTATGCCAAATGCTGATTCTGAATTCAAAAATATTTTGCAAATTGAACAAGTAAAATGAATTTTTTACTATCTCTATAGAAATTATTTATCCATTTATTTAGAGTGTTTGATCTTTGAGCAAATTCTGGATTTAATGCCTAATGTTTTTTAGGAAATTGTTCATCTTGTTGAGCACAATGGTCTGGATCGGGAACTTCTCAGAAATCCGTACACCGATTTATCGGCTATTGAATTACGACGTAAATGGCAAGAAGTTCAGCAAGCTATTCCCTCCCGAGACAATCAACTTCAGAGAGAATGGCACAGACAACAAAGTAAGATAAATGATAGATTGTATGATGAATGATAGTTTAATACTGTGTCGCTTAACGAAAAACATAAAAATGTGCTCCCTTTTTCATTTTTCAATACAATAATAGTTTATACATTCAAGATAATGAAAGACTTCGTCATTTATTCGCTGAAAAAGCAAATGCAGTTGGTCCATGGTTAGAACAACAACTTGAACAAGTTTTGGCTATTGGTCTCGGTGGTCGAGGAAGCCTTGAAAATGCTATTTCTCAGTTACAATCAATTCGACAACAGGTGTAGATGCAGTGCCATTCAATATTCATTTTTGTTTTAATATGCAACTATACAATTACATAATTCTAAAATAAAATTATCAACAATTATGGATGGATGGTATTCTGTTATTTGAATATTATGCGTTTTTTTTTGTTTTCAGGCACATAACTATAAACCAAACTTGGATGAATTGGAGAGAATAAACCAAGAGATGCAAGAAAACTTCGTTTTTGAAAATCGTGCTACTCGTTATTCAATGGAATCCTTAAGAGTTGGTTGGGAATCCCTATTAACATCGATTAATCGAACTATTAATGAATGCGAAAATCAAGTTGGTTCATTAAGATTTGTTCTTGAGAAACATGGTTATAAAATATTTTTAACTAGGACACAGTGACCAATTGTGGCATTACATCCATTTTATAAAATATCATATTTTATGGATTTTACAATTATCAAATTATACTTCAAAGCTAAAATGCTACCAAGTTGATTACAATAAAAAGAATAAAATATTTGATTAGCAAATAATTGGATTGATTTATCGCTTTAAAATTTTCAAAAATTGCTATTTTTCACGATATTTTAGATTTTGATGCGTGATTGTAAAGGTATAACTGAAGAGCAGCTTAATGAATATCGAGCATCATTCAATCATTTCGATAAAGATCGACGAGGCTTGGATAGCGAACAACTGAAATCATGTCTTATATCGATAGGTTATAATATACGGCCTGGGAGAGAAGTATGTTGTTTGGTTATGATGAACAAATGAAGCAAATGAAGCAAATGAAGCTTTGATCGTTAGCTCACTATATTAAGTAACTAGAAATCTTCTGCGGTTAAATTATTAGTTATCGTAATAAACGAACTGTAAATTGCAAAACTGCATTAGGAGAATTTTCACTGGTCAGTTTAAAAAAAAAACTTTTAAAAAAATTTTTGCGAATATTTTTTTGAGAATATTTTAGAACTTTCTATTTTAATCTTTTTGCAATAGAAATTCTGAATAATTAGCGGTGATTCTCAAGGGAGATCAAGATATGCACCGTATCCTTTCCATTGTTGATCCGAATAAAATGGGTAGAGTGCCGTTTAATGCTTTCCTCGATTTCATGACGCGTGAGACGGGCGATGCGGATACAAGTGAGCAAATGATCGATTCATTCAGGACTCTGGCATCTGGAAAGGTTAATAATTTTTGTAATATTCGTAGCACCAAAGCCTGAAATTACTAGTCTCATTTATCTCAATTTATCAATATCAATTTCAGTAAATTATTTTTGCACTGGTAGTTCCATATTATTAATCCATCAAGTATTTATAATGCATATTTTTCAGCCTTACATAACTGCTGACGAATTACGACGTGAACTACCAGTGGAACAGGCAGAATATTGCATTCGCCGAATGGCTACATATCGAGATTCTCACATGCCTGCAGGATCATATGATTATGCTTCATTCAGTCGAAGCTTGTATAATTATTAGCATTTAATCCCATTTTCAATTAATGCTCAGAACGTAATAGTCATTTTTTTGTTGTTTTCCCTTAAATAGCAGTAATTTTTTAGTCAGAATTCTCTTTTACTCAAAGTCTTTTCGTTTGAGGTATTTTCTTCGAATTGGCTATAATTAATTTTGTGGTTCCTATAAAAACTTATGAGTAAAAAAAGTTCGTGAATCACATTTTTTTGCCTTATACTCATTTTTCTACTTTTTCCATTATTATAGCTTTCACAGAAGATAGAAAATGATGCCTGATGAATCTATTCAGTGATTAAGTGAATTTAGGAGGGTTAATCTAGTACAGTTGAGCATTTAATCTATGGCACCTGCTGGTAAAATATTTACCGAGATTTTTCTTATATTCCTTTCAGTAACACTATCATTATTAATGGAAATAATAAATAATTCGATAATAAAACTACCATTTAAACAATTATATATCTTCTGATGAAGCCAACTATAGATCACCAGCATTAATACAAAACATTATACATTAAAAAATGTAAAGAATAACAACTTAGAAGAAGCGGAGGAATTAATTAATTAAAAATAAATTCTACAGTTCTTCACAATCAATATCTCGGTTGAATTATTTGGTTTTTTCAAAAATTTTATGATTATATGAATAAAATTTGTCAAACGATTAATTTAGAAGGTATGAACTTGAATAAAAGGTAGAAATACGCTTTTAAGGAGTATGCCAAATATTCTATTAATCTGCATTGTCGTGGTGTAATGCTATTTAAAAAGTTCGATATTTATTAAGCCGTTGTTTGTACATAAAAAAATTTTTCCTCTCGTACTTTATGATCATGTTTTTAGACTCGAGGAAAAAACTGCTCTGTATTTTTAAGTGACTCGCTGGCAAAAATTTATTATGATACAAATAGCGATGAATTTGTACCGGAGGAATTAATTAATTAAGAATAAATTCTGAATAAATGGTCCTTAGTCACCATTTCCGAAATGAATTTACAAATGAATGAAGAACAAAATTTTTAAATTGCGGTATGGGGTTTTTTATGACAAATAGTCTAACTTATATGATAAACTATTTATCATTAAAAAATTCTGATAGTGCTGACGACCCAATTGCACTTCTATTACAAAGTAGAAAAATTTTTCAACTTGATTTTTGTCAGCAGAGTTAATCTAGCCAGAAATTGTAAATGCTAACCACTTACTCTTACTTATTTGAACCTCATGAATCTCTCTGCGAAAGGAAAGCTTTTAGCTTTTGTCCCATTCATTAAAAAATTGCGTAAGTTTTGCGACTAATTGTTGCACCATTTCTTTCATCACGGTTATAAATACTGTAGTATAGTTGCGGCGAGCTCATTTCGTTAGACATATTATTCTTTTGCAGGAATTATTCATGGTTTTCAAATAAGTGTCATTCAAATAAGTCCACAATATGGTTAATTTTTAGATTCATCTTACTTTCATTCATCATTCATCCACTATAATACTTCCTCGTTAGAATGTTAATCGTTAGAATGGCGACGAAGAAAATCGCACTGATATATTTCATTAACATGGAGACCATCTTTGTACCAATTTAGACCAATTTAGATCATAGAAAATACAACTTCTTCTTATGACAGCCATTCTGATTTAACTGAGTCTATTAAAGATATCTTCGGCAAATAATCACTTTGGAATAAATCATTATCGGCATTATCCAAATTTCACTTACTATCAAGGAGCAGTAGCCTGCTGATTGATCTCAAAGAAACAAACTACTCGGCCACTGCACTTTCGATATCCTTACAATTTTAAGAACACAAACTTTTGTTTAATAATCTATAATAATCTATGAATAATTAAAGTTTAAATGAATTTTTTGCAATAAAATTAATACATTATAGAATAAAAAAAACTACAAATTTGAAGGATAGGTTTTCCAAAATTAATGAAGCAAAATTAATGAGCTTCTATCATAGTAAATCACTTATGTCTTTGTATTGATCTAGTTGATCTCGTAGTTGTAAAAATATTTATCACAGAAATGTGCCGGTCAAGGTCATTAAAATCGAAGTTATTTAGGACAAACTGTTCGTCCCATTCTTGTTCATCCTTTCGCCTTATTTCATTTCTTTATATTTCAATTCCTCGTTTCTAAATTTTTTTTTGTTACGACACAAAATTAACGGTGTAAATTTCATGAAATGAGCTTTTCCTTACTTGCTTTTTGATAATCACTGCTTAACAGCCGTACTCTTCGGTAGAATTACCGCTTAATGACAAATTCGTAATGTGGTTGTTCTTGTCCGAATATATCTTCATGATAACATCTATTGGAATTTTCGAATTTTTTCACAGATTATCCTCATATCGCAGTAGTTTGAATAAATCTTCTATGGCTTCCAAAAAGGCTTACATTGAACATCGCGGAAATTTTGTAAAAAAATTAAAAGATAACAGTTATTTAAAATATTGAGTACCAATAGCATTAGAAAGCTGAAGTACTGATTCACGGCTGCATGTGAAAAATTTGGTCCTCCTTGTCTAATTTACCAATTTTTGTTTAAATTTATAGGAATTAGGAATTGAATTTAATCAAATTTAATTTTATGAGTACTATGAATTTTTTGATGCTATCTTGACGCAGCAAGAAGTTTTGAACATAATGTTCTTTTTTTAAAATGAACATTTAGTTTTTTGTCAAATGAATGAGAAACGTGACGCCAAAGTCAGATATGATCGGATTATTATTTGCGTTGAGTTATGGTCGAATCATCTATTATTGGATTTTTTTAATAGATGATAACAACGATTTTGATCAGTGTTCATTTCAAAATACAAAATATTCATGAAATAACGATTTTGTTTTGTGGCAAATTGCTTGCAAAGGCCACCGTGATAGAATTTAGTACAATAAATTTTCAGTAATCATTTCATGAATGAAAATTTTCAAATTTCATCGTTATGGGTTATCGTAAAATGAAAAATTTACGTTTGTTTATCACTGAAATTTTGTTCTATTTGAACATTCTTGTGATTTTGAATATATTTCTACTTCCAATAGGAGTAAACTCATAAAATCAAAATCCTGATAGTGGTTAACCTGCATCTCACGTTTCGCCTTGGACCGTACTAACAACTGAGTTAGCCTTATCAAAAACGATGAGCCTTATCCCCTCAGTTATTTTTCATTTTTATTTAGTCCTTATTATTTTATAGATTGTCCATTTGAAGCTGTTTCGAGTTTATTCTAGTCCTCACAAAAGTGATGATGAGCTTTGTTATTTCAAATGATTAGCACTCATCATTTCTGGCTCGCTAAACTTGCTGTTAGCAATATAAAAAAGTCTTGCCATGGAATTACTTAGCGATACAAACACAGATGCCTCCAGCATCACTCAGATTTTTTAATGACCACTTTATTCTTGTCGGATATAGAGTTCAAACCAGATGCTAGACACGTTAGTCTCAATTAACAATTAAATATCTGCCTCTTTCAGGCTTTATTAATCGATTCATTCGCCATTTGTAATTAGACCCATCTTTAATGCATTGTAAGTTTTCTTTGTTATTTTAGCAAATAAATTTTTTTATTGGAAGCACCGTTTAGAGTGAATAGTAATTCAGACTACCACGCTGAGAAGTAAGAGTTCGGTTTCAACCTTCGAAAGGAATAAATCCGGGTGGTGCTGGCGATCCGTCTATACTTTAATCGCCAACTAACACCAAAAATTTAAAACCTTTCCTAGCTTAGTCAGAAGCGCTTGCGCTCGCCGTTTATTTACCCACTTATTTTTTTGCACTTGCTTGTTATTTTCTGTTATTGTTATTGTAATTTAATTCATCCTTTTTTTCCTTTCAGTAAACTAAAATTGCAGATCAAATTGCAGTGAAATCATTGATTCGTCTTTTTTTTTCTGCCCATACAATAATGAATGCTTATTAATTTTCTAAAATTGTGAAAGAAATCTTTTTCGTTCATTTAATTGTTTATCCCGTCAATCTTCATTGTCCCTAAAACAAAACCAGAAATATTTATAACATTTATTGCAAAATGAAGGCAAATGGGCATTAATCGATCACCGAATCAGTAAAATTCTGCAGTTCATTAGTTCAATTTAAATTTTAAATTTCTAAATTTTAGTCTAAATTTTAAATGAATTTTTCAAATTCTTTTCTAAAACTTGTCGAAAATTTGATCTATTTTATTCAGCAGCGTTCGTTATAACGGAAAATATCAAGTCTGGTGAATAATTATTTGCCAAAATATCTTATTTGAATTTGAATTCGATAATTTACCTTGGCAATTTTTGAACAATTTATTATTAATCATTTAATTATTGAGTAATTTACTTTTGTTTACTTTTAGAAACAAACCGCATTAGCATCATGAAAATATCATGAATCTGGCTATTAGTAGGATAAGAAATTTTCGCCAAAGAATCATCTGAGAAAGCAGCGCAGGTGATCCCTAGCACCACTTAGGCTTTTCAATGACTATTTTGCTTGTATCATTAGCCGAGCCATTATGACCAGAAATAATCTATGCAATGAACATACGCCCACTATACTCTCAAAATCCAGATGTAGATAATTTGAGCCGAAAAATGATTTGCATCACGCCACTTACGAAATTTTTTTATCAATAATAATTTTAAAATATACATTTAAAATATAAATTTATATAAAATGAAATGAAAGATAGTGTATTCAAATACCTTGGAGCGAAAATTTAATCAGTTTGTGCGCATAAATGAATGAACTACGCGCATCCGTTTTGTTGCTTAATTTTTATTTCTGTCAGAAATTTAAGATGAAAAAATTCCTTGAAAAGAAATTGAAATATAAGGATTTTTTGCAGATCTTATTAATGATATTGGTGATTAATAAAAAAAAATATTGAAAATTTGTACTCGGGTAACATGAAAATAAAAAAAGATGGGGGCTTTCACTAGTTTCACGAGAATAATCCCTTTCGTGATCAGAACTGGTTATATAGTTGGTCAGGGTTATGTTTAAGGATAATCCAGAACTTATCTATACGTCTGATAGGTTTTCTAAACGGTTGGCGAAACCTTTCTGCTTTTCCCTTGCTGTAAAAGAAAGATAGTAGTTCCGCTAGTAATTACTGTGAATCAATTACATAATGATAAAATTTTAATGAAATTAATCATCTAATGCTTGCTTATTATTTATTAATTCATTCCTTTATGAATGTTTCTCACAAGAAGGCATAATAAGATCGTTGTTATGCTTCTTTGATACTGATGTTAATATTTTAAAGATTATCCATCACAACATTAAGTAATGGACATTCGCTGTCACCAAAGCTCTTCACCGACTTTTGCAAAATTAATTATTTGGCGACCTTGCCAGAATTCTATTCAAATTAATTTAGCATATTGGTACTTTGAACTTTTGTATCAATAAGTGGAGCGACGGAAACCAGAAGTGGCACTAAAAGCAAAATGTGATTAGGGCATAAAAGATAATGAGATAGAAAATTAGGTATGCAGAGAATTAATGTCCTGTCGAAAAATTTTAGTAATATCACATTTGCTATAAGATAATATCACAAATTCTTCTGCATGATTTATAGATGGCCACCAAGTTTATAACTCTTTGTCATTCTGAATTATCCTGAAAATCAGAAAACCAAATAAGAACAAAACGGAAAAATGATAAGTCGGAAAGAAATGCCTCAATCGGATGAAATAAAGAAGACATTTCTTTTAAACCACCAGCATTTTATTTTTCTTAACTGTTTCTTAAGCGATAGAAACTTATTTGGCACCAAATAAGCTTCAAAAGAATCTGTTATGATGCTAATTTTAGTGCAAGCAACATGGCTTGACCCTTGGCAGAAGTACATTTTGTCAATCTAAGCGGTGTTGAGTCACAAAAAAAAGTGCTCATAACATGAGCAATAGGCTATTTAGCTTATTAAATTTTAATGCATATATCAGTTATCATGTTTTATCAAATGTTAAACGAAGCAGATAGTTTTCCAGGTCAATGATATCTATTATAATGCATCATATTGTTCGCTTGGAGTCGTTCTTTTGTTCGATTGAAAAAATTCTTCCGTATCAGATAGAATCAGATAGAAATATAAAAATGTCTGAAAAACATAAAATTTACAATATTAACACCGTTTTCCAGACTACTAAACCTCACTTTTACCTGAAAACTGGTACCAGAGCTAATTGAATGGTTGATAAAAGTTCAAAAGCTACAAATGAGAAAGAGAAGAATGCCAAATTTCTTGGCAACCAGTTCTGGACACAAAGCAAAAAAAGTGTTAACTATAATAGTGGAGATCAGCAAATACGGCCTGAATCGACTGTTAGTCGACAATTTTTGCCTAAAAAACAACAACGAATTAATGAAGCTTGGAATAAGCAGGCGCAAGAAAAGGTATGTGGATTCACGAATATCTTGCTAAAAGCTCTGGCAGATGTTTATATCTGCTTTATTTCAATCGATATGATCAAAATAAAGTTGAAATATATATACAATTAAAATTTTTTCAAATAGAAATCGATAGCTGATGAGTACCTTAAAGTAGTGCAAATTTTAGACAGATGAATTAAATCAGCCATTTAATTACACACCTTTCAAGTCTGGTTCTCTAAATAAAGCACCATCTACAAGTGCTTTTCGCCGTGGTACACCAAATCCACCAGATATACTCCAACCTAATATATTAATTCCACCAGGTTAGCTTTTTTAATAGCTAAAAACAATGCCTTGACAAATATATCAAAACATGAAAATAAAGTCGCTTAAATTCGAATTGAATAATGTGCTCTGCTTCCTACTTATGAATTTCCTGAATAAAATCTTGTGGAATTTTGACATTTCTTTAGGAAAAAATTAGTTTTTCTGAAGTTTATGTAATCTTTCAGGCAATTTACAGCCAACTGATTTTTTACTTAAAAGGTCAGAAACACCTCGAGCGCAAGTAAATCCATATCAAATCTACGGAGGATTATCTAATATGAAAGGTACATGCAATACCTACTATCTTAATCTCTAATATTTAAATACTTTAGTTTTTAATAATGTTTGCAGAAATTTGTCCACAAGGTCAAAGTACACCGAAGATGTCGTGCCATAACCTGCATGGACAACAAAATCATTTACAATTATCAGCTGGTGGGTATTTAGCTTCAGTACATAGCAATAAGAATGGTGAATAACAGTTTTTTAATTATAAAGCTCAGTTTATTTGATGTTTTCTGACTCTTATCGTTGTTCGTGTAAAAATATAAAGTATAAAAATCTTTTGACTTTACTTATCAAGTCTCCATAAAAACATGGTGAAATTTTCAGCCATACCTCGTCTTGAAGTGAAAAATGCTTGGAAAAATACAAATTTGGAGACAATACCATTAAATGGACCATATCGGCCTGCTAGTGCTATGAATCCCTTAGCTATAACTCGCCCGATTTCGAGAGCCACGAGTGACATTGGGATAGGTTTTTTTTGATTTCAGTATAATTTATAATTTATAATAAATATTTAATTTATAATTTCAGTATAATTTCTAATTTTATTATCTTATATAAATCTTATATTGAATTGATTAACACAGCATCAAATGTTTTTTTAAATTATGTATTATTAGGTAAAGAAAACACTGGTTTGAGCTATCAATTATAGTTTTATGCTAAGTCATTTAAGTTATTTAAAAAGAAAATTCAAATTGAAATCTATATTCAGGAATGATGAACAGCGGCTTTGAATCGCGCTACCAGAGTTATACGACCTTACCCAGACCTGAAAAACTGGATTATGACCAACGTTCAAATCACGGAAGTGAAGTTATTCACTTGAATAAGCAAATGAGCATGATATATAATCCATATATAACGAAACCTTCAACGGATACACAAGTATTTTTTGCTCAAGCGGACCCCGCTTCTAATCGAGTATCCATTGCATTTTATTTATTTTATTCATTTTAATTTAATTATTGCTAAAACATTTAAATGCTTCCATAGAAGAAAGGTAAACAAATAAAATGGCTTAAGCAAATGGACTTTTTTTTAAAAAAATTTCTTATTATTAGATGATTATTTAGATTTCAAACAGACCCCCATCTTCAATTTTGATTGGCGCACCGGGAATGGTTAGTGATTATATAGTCAGAAAACCGTCACTATATACAGGCGATCCAATAATGCCTCCAATAACAGTTCAAGACGACATTATTAAGCCCGCAGTAGATATCGTTTACTTTGATGGACTATCATTGCTTTCGGTATTTCAAGTAAGTCGATCATTTATTAATCAAAATGCAAAAAAAAATGAAAATACTCTTTTTCAGGTGCTTTGTGCTTTAGTAACAATCACTTGTGGCGTGTTGCGGTTATTGTGGCGAGCAAAATATGCCATTGGGATAGAAATACTGTTTTCTGTACTCGTGCTAATAGCTGGAATAATGGGAATTTATGCTAATAATAAAAGGTAAAGGTAAATCTATTCAAAAAAACTCCAGTTATTTTATTAAACATCATTTTAAATCATTCATGAATAATGATGACTTAAGCAACTTTGGAAAACAGTTTTCCCGATTAAATAAAATGATATATACCGACTGATGGATAAGCTTCTAAATTCAATTTTTGTCCAACAATAGGAGTAAATATTATCAAAAGTAAGATTCGAATTGAAAATCCTACACTTCTATCCCTGCGCGACTTTTTCGCAAAAATGTTTTGCTCAAATAGTCAAAAAATGCAAATCCAAACCAGAGAAGGCAAATGATCCCGACAAAAAGAATTAATAATTTTATATTAATAATTTAAATCAACTATGTGATTCGTGGCTTATGTTATAGGTGCCATTGTGCAGCCGCAGTTGTATTTAATCTATCTGGTTTCATTGCGTTGCTCGGAATAATTCCACTACTAATAGGTGAGCACTTTGATTTCTATGTTAGCTTGTCATAAAATTTGAAAAATGAAATGTCCAGTAATGTCATTCTTCAATTTCTTTGATATGATTTTGCTTGTAAATATATACCTTTTTTTTCTAAAATGTACAGCTGAGACCAACGTCTCTTTTCTAAACTACAAAACAGTTCCTACACTTTAAGGTCTTTTACCGAATCTTGCTTTGCTAGTACCATCTTTCAAATTAGACTGGATCCTAAACGATGATCAATCTGCCATCATTGATTGTCTACTCTGCTTTGTTAGCATCACAGAGGTAACAGTTTAATTCATTCGTGGAGCATTTCACATGTTTCGCTTAAAAGGAATTGCTTCCTTCTTTCATAAAAACATTTTCAAGTTATCCTCTATTCGATAGTGCAAGATATTCAATAGGCAGTGTCTAGAACTTTTATTTATTGGCTATAGATGATGCTGTCGCTGATTGTTTCATTTCACGGATGTCGAGCAACAGGTACAATAATGAGCAATGTCGAGAGTCTTCGTCTCAATCTTGAGGTTACCAATCGAGCATACGAAAGCTCAACCAATTCCATTAACAAAGGAAATGAAAAGTTGGAAACAAAAAATCATATAAAATAATTATATTTTCATGTTAATTTTTTTTCAATTGATGAAAAATAACGATCGCAATCAATTAATTTTTCACTATGAAACTCGTTAGTGATGAAACAATTGATTGAATAAGACACTTCTTCACTATAGCTGGAAAAGTAATTTATCGCTGTAAAACTCAAACTATGCTCCTATAAATAAAGGAACCAATTAATGTATAAAAATGTTGAAATACTATAAAATTTCCATTTAATCTATTCGGTGACTTTTTTTTGTGATAATTTTTGACTGCGAAAATTTATTGCAAACATTGTACTAACAAGCCTCGAAAAAAACTTCCAAGTTGATCCACAGAAGATACCAGGCAATATGATATTTCCAATTGGCTTATGCATATATATACTTTCTTCGCCTTCAAATGACAGAAAGTTTTCGAAATGGAATCTGTCCATGTCAAAGAATAGGTTTCATTTTATATGATTTGAAAATTTCACTTAATTTTAAAGAAAATTTTGCCATTTTACAAAGAATAAAAAAGGAAGGAAAGAATGAATTCTACATAGATCATTTTACTTATACTATTCTACTTTTAAATGAGCTTCCGACCAACTAACAAAATAATAATCACAGAAAAAAAGCCGGGAAAAAATAGAATAAATAAATAGAATATCAATTTTTCAATTTAAAGCAATTCATATTTTCATATTTGCAATATATTTTGCATAAATCATATTTTACATCAAGATATAACATTAAATTTAAGTTTCTAAATATTAATCATTATGAAAGATGGTAAAAAATTTAATTTTGCCACAAAATTCCGGTAAAAAATTCGCTGACACAAATTGATATATATGAAAATTTAAAGCTGTGAGACCTTATTTCATTTTAAGAGAATGCCCAGAGCAAATTTTTTTAAAGTCAGTATTTGGTTAAACTCGCTCCAGCGGCTTACCACACCAGACAATAGAAACAGAGGTGAACCGCCAGTCTTGCTCGGATTCTTGGACAAGTTTACATCCTACAGAAGTAGGAAATCCGCGAGTAGAATCCAGTATCACCGCTCCGAATTGAGCAACCTACTACTAAGCCATTCCATTCCTCTTCTAACAGCTCTTAGCATTACTAGTTAGCCCGGCTCCACTGGCTATAAGGGTAAAGTTGCGCGATCTGGTGCAATCGTCGACAGTAATAGAAGCCACTGGTTTTGCATCATCTAAGTCCATATATAGCTAACCCACCTATACGTTCAAAATCTTTCCTGACCGTATTAGTCAAGATCTTGATTGGCCCACTTCGCTTTTGATGCAACCTATCAGGGTTTAACGAAAAATAATTAATAACAAGACACAAGGACGACGAAAAACGTCTTCTAAAGACCGAAGGTGACGCTCTGTG